CTGGTAGCAGTGCAGCGACACGCGCAGGCGCTCGAGCACGTCGGGCGGGCGCGGTGCAGCGGTGCAGCGGCTGCACGCTCGCACCTGGTAGCAGTGCAGCGACACGCGCAGGCGCTCGAGCACATCGGGCGGGCGCGGTGCAGCGGTGCAGCGGCTGCACGCTCGCACCTGGTAGCAGTGCAGCGACACGCGCAGGCGCTCGAGCACGTCGGGCGGGCGCGGTGCAGCGGTGCAGCGGCTGCACGCTCGCACCTGGTAGCAGTGCAGCGACACGCGCAGGCGCTCGAGCACGTCGGGCGGGCGCGGTGCAGCGGTGCAGCGGTGCAGCGGCTGCACGCTCGCACCTGGTAGCAGTGCAGCGACACGCGCAGGCGCTCGAGCACGTCGGGCGGGCGCGGTGCAGCGGTGCAGCGGCTGCACGCTCGCACCTGGTAGCAGTGCAGAGACACGCGCAGGCGCTCGAGCACGTCGGGCGGGCGCGGTGCAGCGGTGCAGCGGTGCAGCGGCTGCACGCTCGCACCTGGTAGCAGTGCAGCGACACGCGCAGGCGCTCGAGCACGTCGGGCGGGCGCGGTGCAGCGGTGCAGCGGCTGCACGCTCGCACCTGGTAGCAGTGCAGCGACACGCGCAGGCGCTCGAGCACATCGGGCGGGCGCGGTGCAGCGGTGCAGCGGCTGCACGCTCGCACCTGGTAGCACTGCAGCGACACGCGCAGGCGCTCGAGCACGTCGGGCGGGCGCGGTGCAGCGGTGCAGCGGCTGCACGCTCGCACCTGGTAGCAGTGCAGCGACACGCGCAGGCGCTCGAGCACGTCGGGCGGGCGCGGTGCAGCGGTGCAGCGGCTGCACGCTCGCACCTGGTAGCAGTGCAGCGACACGCGCAGGCGCTCGAGCACGTCGGGCGGGCGCGGTGCAGCGGTGCAGCGGCTGCACGCTCGCACCTGGTAGCAGTGCAGCGACACGCGCAGGCGCTCGAGCACGTCGGGCGGGCGCGGTGCAGCGGTGCAGCGGCTGCACGCTCGCACCTGGTAGCAGTGCAGCGACACGCGCAGGCGCTCGAGCACGTCGGGCGGGCGCGGTGCAGCGGTGCAGCGGCTGCACGCTCGCACCTGGTAGCAGTGCAGCGACACGCGCAGGCGCTCGAGCACGTCGGGCGGGCGCGGTGCAGCGGTGCAGCGGTGCAGCGGCTGCACGCTCGCACCTGGTAGCAGTGCAGCGACACGCGCAGGCGCTCGAGCACGTCGGGCGGGCGCGGTGCAGCGGTGCAGCGGTGCAGCGGTGCAGCGGCTGCACGCTCGCACCTGGTAGCAGTGCAGCGACACGCGCAGGCGCTCGAGCACGTCGGGCGGGCGCGGTGCAGCGGTGCAGCGGCTGCACGCTCGCACCTGGTAGCAGTGCAGCGACACGCGCAGGCGCTCGAGCACGTCGGGCGGGCGCGGTGCAGCGGTGCAGCGGCTGCACGCTCGCACCTGGTAGCAGTGCAGCGACACGCGCAGGCGCTCGAGCACGTCGGGCGGGCGCGGTGCAGCGGTGCAGCGGCTGCACGCTCGCACCTGGTAGCAGTGCAGCGACACGCGCAGGCGCTCGAGCACGTCGGGCGGGCGCGGTGCAGCGGTGCAGCGGTGCAGCGGCTGCACGCTCGCACCTGGTAGCAGTGCAGCGACACGCGCAGGCGCTCGAGCACGTCGGGCGGGCGCGGTGCAGCGGTGCAGCGGCTGCACGCTCGCACCTGGTAGCAGTGCAGCGACACGCGCAGGCGCTCGAGCACATCGGGCGGGCGCGGTGCAGCGGTGCAGCGGCTGCACGCTCGCACCTGGTAGCAGTGCAGCGACACGCGCAGGCGCTCGAGCACGTCGGGCGGGCGCGGTGCAGCGGTGCAGCGGTGCAGCGGCTGCACGCTCGCACCTGGTAGCAGTGCAGCGACACGCGCAGGCGCTCGAGCACGTCGGGCGGGCGCGGTGCAGCGGTGCAGCGGTGCAGCGGCTGCACGCTCGCACCTGGTAGCAGTGCAGCGACACGCGCAGGCGCTCGAGCACGTCGGGCGGGCGCGGTGCAGCGGTGCAGCGGTGCAGCGGCTGCACGCTCGCACCTGGTAGCAGTGCAGCGACACGCGCAGGCGCTCGAGCACGTCGGGCGGGCGCGGTGCAGCGGTGCAGCGGTGCAGCGGCTGCACGCTCGCACCTGGTAGCAGTGCAGCGACACGCGCAGGCGCTCGAGCACGTCGGGCGGGCGCGGTGCAGCGGTGCAGCGGCTGCACGCTCGCACCTGGTAGCAGTGCAGCGACACGCGCAGGCGCTCGAGCACATCGGGCGGGCGCGGTGCAGCGGTGCAGCGGCTGCACGCTCGCACCTGGTAGCAGTGCAGCGACACGCGCAGGCGCTCGAGCACGTCGGGCGGGCGCGGTGCAGCGGTGCAGCGGTGCAGCGGCTGCACGCTCGCACCTGGTAGCAGTGCAGCGACACGCGCAGGCGCTCGAGCACGTCGGGCGGGCGCGGTGCAGCGGTGCAGCGGCTGCACGCTCGCACCTGGTAGCAGTGCAGCGACACGCGCAGGCGCTCGAGCACGTCGGGCGGGCGCGGTGCAGCGGTGCAGCGGTGCAGCGGCTGCACGCTCGCACCTGGTAGCAGTGCAGCGACACGCGCAGGCGCTCGAGCACGTCGGGCGGGCGCGGTGCAGCGGTGCAGCGGCTGCACGCTCGCACCTGGTAGCAGTGCAGCGACACGCGCAGGAACTCGAGCACATCGGGCGGGCGCGGTGCAGCGGTGCAGCGGCTGCACGCTCGCACCTGGTAGCAGTGCAGCGACACGCGCAGGCGCTCGAGCACGTCGGGCGGGCGCGGTGCAGCGGTGCAGCGGCTGCACGCTCGCACCTGGTAGCAGTGCAGCGACACGCGCAGGCGCTCGAGCACGTCGGGCGGGCGCGGTGCAGCGGTGCAGCGGCTGCACGCTCGCACCTGGTAGCAGTGCAGCGACACGCGCAGGCGCTCGAGCACATCGGGCGGGCGCGGTGCAGCGGTGCAGCGGCTGCACGCTCGCACCTGGTAGCAGTGCAGCGACACGCGCAGGCGCTCGAGCACGTCGGGCGGGCGCGGTGCAGCGGTGCAGCGGCTGCACGCTCGCACCTGGTAGCAGTGCAGCGACACGCGCAGGCGCTCGAGCACGTCGGGCGGGCGCGGTGCAGCGGTGCAGCGGTGCAGCGGCTGCACGCTCGCACCTGGTAGCAGTGCAGCGACACGCGCAGGCGCTCGAGCACGTCGGGCGGGCGCGGTGCAGCGGTGCAGCGGTGCAGCGGCTGCACGCTCGCACCTGGTAGCAGTGCAGCGACACGCGCAGGCGCTCGAGCACGTCGGGCGGGCGCGGTGCAGCGGTGCAGCGGTGCAGCGGCTGCACGCTCGCACCTGGTAGCAGTGCAGCGACACGCGCAGGCGCTCGAGCACGTCGGGCGGGCGCGGTGCAGCGGTGCAGCGGCTGCACGCTCGCACCTGGTAGCAGTGCAGCGACACGCGCAGGCGCTCGAGCACATCGGGCGGGCGCGGTGCAGCGGTGCAGCGGCTGCACGCTCGCACCTGGTAGCAGTGCAGCGACACGCGCAGGCGCTCGAGCACGTCGGGCGGGCGCGGTGCAGCGGTGCAGCGGCTGCACGCTCGCACCTGGTAGCAGTGCAGCGACACGCGCAGGCGCTCGAGCACGTCGGGCGGGCGCGGTGCAGCGGTGCAGCGGTGCAGCGGCTGCACGCTCGCACCTGGTAGCAGTGCAGCGACACGCGCAGGCGCTCGAGCACGTCGGGCGGGCGCGGTGCAGCGGTGCAGCGGCTGCACGCTCGCACCTGGTAGCAGTGCAGCGACACGCGCAGGCGCTCGAGCACATCGGGCGGGCGCGGTGCAGCGGTGCAGCGGCTGCACGCTCGCACCTGGTAGCAGTGCAGCGACACGCGCAGGCGCTCGAGCACGTCGGGCGGGCGCGGTGCAGCGGTGCAGCGGCTGCACGCTCGCACCTGGTAGCAGTGCAGCGACACGCGCAGGCGCTCGAGCACGTCGGGCGGGCGCGGTGCAGCGGTGCAGCGGCTGCACGCTCGCACCTGGTAGCAGTGCAGCGACACGCGCAGGCGCTCGAGCACGTCGGGCGGGCGCGGTGCAGCGGTGCAGCGGCTGCACGCTCGCACCTGGTAGCAGTGCAGCGACACGCGCAGGCGCTCGAGCACGTCGGGCGGGCGCGGTGCAGCGGTGCAGCGGCTGCACGCTCGCACCTGGTAGCAGTGCAGCGACACGCGCAGGCGCTCGAGCACGTCGGGCGGGCGCGGTGCAGCGGTGCAGCGGCTGCACGCTCGCACCTGGTAGCAGTGCAGCGACACGCGCAGGCGCTCGAGCACGTCGGGCGGGCGCGGTGCAGCGGTGCAGCGGCTGCACGCTCGCACCTGGTAGCAGTGCAGCGACACGCGCAGGCGCTCGAGCACGTCGGGCGGGCGCGGTGCAGCGGTGCAGCGGCTGCACGCTCGCACCTGGTAGCAGTGCAGCGACACGCGCAGGCGCTCGAGCACGTCGGGCGGGCGCGGTGCAGCGGTGCAGCGGCTGCACGCTCGCACCTGGTAGCAGTGCAGCGACACGCGCAGGCGCTCGAGCACGTCGGGCGGGCGCGGTGCAGCGGTGCAGCGGCTGCACGCTCGCACCTGGTAGCAGTGCAGCGACACGCGCAGGCGCTCGAGCACGTCGGGCGGGCGCGGTGCAGCGGTGCAGCGGCTGCACGCTCGCACCTGGTAGCAGTGCAGCGACACGCGCAGGCGCTCGAGCACGTCGGGCGGGCGCGGTGCAGCGGTGCAGCGGCTGCACGCTCGCACCTGGTAGCAGTGCAGCGACACGCGCAGGCGCTCGAGCACGTCGGGCGGGCGCGGTGCAGCGGTGCAGCGGCTGCACGCTCGCACCTGGTAGCAGTGCAGCGACACGCGCAGGCGCTCGAGCACGTCGGGCGGGCGCGGTGCAGCGGTGCAGCGGCTGCACGCTCGCACCTGGTAGCAGTGCAGCGACACGCGCAGGCGCTCGAGCACGTCGGGCGGGCGCAGGCGGCGGCGCGGCGGCGTGGCGAGCGCGGCCCACAGCCGCGTCCACGCGTCCTCGGCGAACTGGCTCACGCGCTGCCGCGGCGCCAGCACCACCGCCGCACTGTTCCACAGCTTCTCCTGGCTCACGGACACCGATACCTCGCCGGCCTGTAGACAGAAACAGATCTGTTGTAGCGTATGACAATGTCTATGATGAATGGAATAAAAGAAAACATTTTACAGGCACAGACAGTTCAAAAAACTTATTGTGAGAACTCGCACTCACGTTGAATATGTGCGCGTACAGCAGTGAACATTTGAGGGCTGACAATGATGTGTACGTAACTACGAGGGGCACACTGAAATGATCGAGAATAAGAAAAACCACATGCAGAGTATAGCTAAATTGTATTTTATTGAATTTTTGAAGTATTCTCCGTTCAACTTAATGCACTTTTCCATTCGTGCCAACCAATCATTAAAACAGTAATTCCAGTCTGTAGTTGATGTTAACAAAATGGCTGATTTGTACGCTTCCACAGATGCTTCGGGGTCTTCAAACTGTTGACCGCGTAATAAATCTTTCATTCTAGGGAATGTAAAGAAATCGTTTGGGCTCAGGTCAGGACTGTACGGAGGATGGCTCATCAGCTCAACGTTTTCCTGCTTTAAAAAATCGTTTATCTTCCGAGCCGTATGGGAGCTCGCATTATCGTAATGTAAAATGATGCGACGTTTCGGGTTATTTTTTCGGAGTTCGGCTATCAGTTCTGGCAAACAAACCGTGATATATACCACTCAGCGGTAACCGTTCTGCATTCCTGTAAAGGAATTGTAGCAACATGCCCCTTATTCGAGACAAACGTAGCAACCATTTTCTTTGACACGCTGCGGGAGCGAACCACTTTCGCTGGTTTAACCTCGTCTTCGAAGACCCAAAGTGCTAACTGATGTTTTGTCTCAGGTTCGTATGAATAAATCCATGATTCGTCACCTGAGACGATATTATAAACGGCATTCGACTTCCCTCCGTTGAAGCGTTGCAGAGTATTCCGGCACCAATTTGCTCTTCGGACAAATTGTGGGGAACCCAGCAGCAAACTAGCTTTCTTACACACAGCTCATTATGTAATATCGACTGAATTGCAGTCAATCCGACACTGATAACAGCCCGAATCTGCTCGTATGTCGGTCATCCAATATAATAGTTCGCACAGCTGCGATGTTTTCAGGCGTGACCGCTGTTCTTAGTCGACCTGCAGAAGAAACAGTGTTGTGCGACACACGACCGCGTCGGAACTCGGCATACAAGCGGTATATTGTCGTTTGACTCGGTGCTTCAACATCATAAATCGAAACAAGTTCGCAATGTCTCACATTTATCTTGAGATAAGCCGCGACGAAAATTGTGATAAATTATGGCACGGAAATGTTCACGCGTGAGCTCCATTTCTGTTAACGACGTGTCAACTTTAAACCAACATAGTTTTTGTTTTTAAACATTTTTTTAATTGTTTGAACAAGGTTTTATTGTAACTCAATCCGAAATATTCTATTCCCGATCATTTCAGTGTGCCCCTCGTACGTGTGCTTTGTCTAAGAATGTACATTTCAAGTGATGTCGTTGTTTTACGTCAGTTGAAGTATACGTAGCGCTTTATATATTTATTATTATTAGAATAAAAAAATTTAAGTATTTAGCTTAGGTCATACGAGGGTGACACTGAAAGTTCTTAGAAAATCCAAAACTGAACAAACTAACAAGTTATTAGTTTTATTACAGCTTTTCAAAATAGTGTCTATTTACATCAATACATCGCTGCATCAATACAATACTGCTTCCTTGGAAGTTTTTCTTATATTTTCGTGCGAGGTCGGGGCTATAGGGCGGATGACCCAGTAATTCCACGTCTGACGTCGCCAAGTAGCCAATTGTTAGCTTGGCGGTGTGCGACAAGGCGTTGTCGTGGTGAAGGACGATCCTACTGCAAAGTCGTTTCTCCCGAACTTTTTCCAAGATAAGTGGCAAACAATTGTTAATGTATCACTCTGCAGAACTGTTTTTCGATTCTCTTAAACAATTGTTGCGTAATGACCTGTCCTTCCGAAGAACGAGGCCACTATCTTTTATCCCACGCTTCGACCTCTCTTCTCTTTAGTTCAGCAACTCCTCAGAAGGCAACACCCAGACAACAGACTGTCTCTTAGTTTCAATATCATAACAATAAACTCAGCTTTCGTTACCCGTAAGTATGTCGAACACAGCATTTGAGTTACCTCCGTTAAATCTTTGAACGACTTCACAACACCAATCAACACGACGGAGTTTTTGGGCCTCTGTCAAATTATGAGGTATCCACCGGGCACAAAGCTTCCTGACCGCTAAATGTTCATGGAGGATTTTGTGCACTTGACTCATGCCGATGCCTAAGCTTGTCTGAATCTGCTGATAAGTCACTCTTTTGTCAGTCTCTATCATACGCCGCACAACACTAATGTTATCTTCAGTCGTCGCCGTAGAAGGCCGTTCCTCGCGTAGATCATAGGTGAGATTAGTGCGGCAACGTTTTTAAACCAGTTGTAAACAGTGACAGGAGATAGGGCTTGATCGTGAAAGGCCAATCGAAGTCCTTCATAACTTTCTTGTTGACTCAAATGACATCGAAAGTCATAAAAAATTATTGTACAAAAATATTCTCGCGTTAAATTCATGCTGACGTGACACAGACAACAAATGACAAATTAATAAAATACACACACAATAAAATTGGCAAAAACTTCCATTTTCAAAATTTTCAGTTCTAAAAACTTTCAGTGTCGCCCTCGTAAGGATAATAATAAAAAACAAAAATAGGATAATTAAATAAAAAAGTTTAAAAATTAGCAAAGACATATCAAAATGTTTAGTAAATACTGGTGGAAAAAATATACTAAGAAAAAACAAATTCACAAAATATATTACAATGTGTACTACCCAGTGCTGGTTTTAGGTTATAAAAGAAATAAATAGATAGCGAAGATTTTACCTTAACATCTGCGAACTTGAGGTGGAGTGTAAAGGGTAGCATGGACATGAGGGGGAGCGCGGAGGCGGGCAGCGAGCGGCGTGTGATCGCGTACGTGTAGCCCACCAGGTACTCCTGCAGCACGCGCTGCAGCCCGCCCAGGCCCTCGCGCTGGTTCACGCACAGCCACGACACCAACTGGAATGTTGTGAACGTTTCATTGTATCCTTACTCTTGTGGGTTCCCAGTCGGTCCGAAATCACTTTTTTTCTATAGAATAAAGGTGACAAACGAGCACGTAGTAAGTGGATGCTTTGTCCCATAAACATTTTTTAACATTTATCGTTATAGTCACAGTGAGAGTATAAGGTTTTTCTGTCAAACATTGTCTGAAGCAGCCCCGAGTCACGATGTTAGTGGTGTTTCACCGCCGTGCCTCGAAAGAACGTAAAGCCGTTGGTCCTGCGCTTGATCTCTCTCCAGTAGTATTGAATTGCTATCCCATCGGACTACGAGAGTGAGGGAACAGAGATTGCAACACTTGCGCATTCACTCGTGCACAATAATGCTGTTGATATTAGCACAGTTTAAAGACATTACAGTTGGGAAACGTATATACTTGTGCAGAGCAACGGTGGGAGCTTTGCGGGGCAGGGGGCGGGCCGACCTTGTGCTAGCGCACTTCACTGCGTGTATTGTAATTATATATTATAATTACAATTATATAATATTATTAACTATAATATTCTAACAGCATGTATTGTCTGATAGACAATACATGCTGTTAGCCATAGCCTGCTTTATAGTACTTATTTAACTAATTTTAAGTGCCATTTTCGAAATATATTATATTTGTAACGGTGAAATAGTATTATAGTCATATGTTACTAAAATTGAATTCAAATGACGGCCATGCTTATATTTCCTCTCATTTTTTTTTCATAAAATTGTTTATCCGAATGCGAATAAACTACATAATTAAATTTAACAATCAAAAACTGAAAACATCCATAAAAAGAAAGTATCACGAAAATATTTGGCAGTGCAACACTTGTAAATGTGTTTTTTCTTGTAAATGTGTTATTTAACTTATAATTATGTACATAATGTTAATTAATGAGTATTGTATTATCCAAAATTATTTTGTCGATCACCCTTGTACGCATCGTAACGTTTTACAATACCCCCCAACCGCCAAATTGCGTTACGTAATACTTGAACTTGGTCGACACTGATGTGATTCTTAGCATCACTTCATATGCTAGCTACAGCAAGCATGTGCTACGTGCGTTTGTGGCTCTGTATGCGGAATTTATTAGGGGGTAATCTGTGGTAAATACCAACATTGCGGCATTGACATCAAAGGCGTTTCACAACTGTAAGGTCTAAAAACTGTGATAATAGTCTCCGACCAGGCTGTCCGCCGTGACCGAAATCCGATCTGGGAAGACAGTGTCGATGATGTATTATCTACCTAACACTTTAAATAGTCTAAAAAGTATGTAAATTTACAGCTTATAAGTCTTACTTCTCTTACAGTTACGCGAACACTTGTGACACTAATCTCCTCCGCAGTTAACAGCTACCAATAGTATCCAGTGATAAAAAAATACAATTATTATCAAAATAACTAACCTCTTCAGCTAATTCCAGATTCCCCTCATGCTGTATCAAGTAATGTATAATCGCAAGTTTGTTTTCCACCGTCGTGTTACTCTTGAACGTCGCCACCAAATCCTTTTCAGCTACATTCATTGTAACTACGTCCAACGTATTCAAGTCCACCATGGCGTGGACTCCCCACCCTAGCAGTGGAGCGAGACTGGGCCCACTTTCAGTCTCTTCTACAGGAATGACGATGTGAGAACAAGGCTCGTGGTGTAAACTGATGTCTATCAAATGGGTGAAGAGCATCGGTATGTTCACCAGAAGATGATTGTCTGTGGAACAATATTTTAATATATAAAGTGAATTTGATTAACTACTTTACTCAAAATTATAAAAAAAAACTACGGTTGCCCACCCGACTGCCTAGCGCGGCAACAATGGTAAAATACCCCTTATGTGGCAATTCAAGGGAGAGGCTTATGTTCAGTATTGGACTTTATATAGGTTGTAATGGATGGATGAAAAAGATTTTTGTTATAGGATAAGGGTAACAAGCGAACACACAGATCCACCTGATGGTAAGTGGTTGTAGATGTAGATGTCTATGCGCCACAGCATAGTCATCTACATCTACAACATCCTTGTTTGCTAATCAAAATACAGATGCGTTGTCACCCGTGAAGGACTAATATGGAATGCCTCTTTTCGAGTAAAAAGGGTTCTCTACACTCACCATAAGAAACACAGCAGCATTAAGCTGCTACTTTACGCTGGTATTCTGTGAGAGCCTGGTCCTTCCCCGGTTGATCCGAACCATTCGTGCTACAACTATACAATTAATATAGCTGCAGCATGGCTCTACCACGTATAAATAAATATATCGTGGATAGGGTAAAATTAAAAGATATGTTTTGAAACTTAAAGTACTCGAACTAGCTTTAAGAAAGCAACATGTTTATCTTTATTTGTAGGCGCCGTATATTGTGTGTATATTTTGTCTTGTAAAAAGTGTATCTACATAATGTGTAATAAAATAAATAATTAAAAAAATCAACAACCCGACTACAAAAATGACAATTTATAAGTAATACACTAAAAAGACCGAAACAATGTCGGACAAAATGTAGAGATGACTGATTTCATGCCTAGCAGAACAGACAAATGAAAATTACAATTTACGTAAGTGGTTTACGCAATCAAAAACTATTTAAATATTATATTTTATTATAAATATTTTAAATATTTAAACCAATTTATTATTCCTAAATAAATTTAACCGTGTAGTGGCGGTTAAGTATATTCACTACCCATATCTTCATTTGATTCCATCGAAATTTAGACGGCATTACAGTCCTTCCAGCTGTGCTAAGTTGACTGTCGGTATATCGAAGTGCTGAAGTGTTTGTACAGCAGGGCTATGATGGCTATCCGAGTACAGAATTAGAGTACGAAACCTATCTAACTGCAGAGAGGTGTAATACAGGGTGACGATATATCCCCGAAACTCTTCACCGCCGCATTGGAAGACGTTTTCAAGCTTCTGAACTGGAAAGGATACGGTATTAATATCAATGGTGAGTACATCACTCACCTTCGATTTGCCGACGATATAGTCCTTATGACAGAATTGCTAGACGACCTAAGCACTATGCCTAATGACCTCAATAGTGTCTCCCAACGGATAGGTCTTAAGATGAACATGGACAAAACAAAGATCATCTTTAATGTCCTTGTCACACCTAAGCCTGTAATTGTTGGGAGCACTAAGCTCGACTTTATTGACGAGTATGTTTACCTGGAGAAAATAGTCCGACTAGGTAAGTCCAACTTCGACCGAGAGGTCAATCGACGGATTCAACTCGGCTGGGCAGCGTTCGGAAAATTGCAACACATCTTCTCGTCAGGTATACCTTAACACTTGAAAACAAGATTGTACAACCAGTGCGTGTTGTCAGTGATGACCTATGGAACTGAAACGTGGTCCTTCACTGCTGGCCGTATGAGGACACTCAAGGTCGCTCAGCGAGCTATGGAGAGGGCTATGCTCGTCGTTTCTCTGCGTGATAAACTTAGAAATGAGGATATCTGCAGTAGAACCAGAATAACCGACATAGCCCAAACGATTATTAACCTGAAGTGGCAGCGGGGCGGCCATATAGCTCGAAGAACCGACAACCGATGGGGAAAAAAGGTTCCCGAGTGGCAGCCTCGTACCGATAGGCTAAGTGTAGGGCGACCTCCCACTAGATGGAAATAAATACAATTAATATAGCTGCAGCACGTTGTATATATATATATCGAGCATCGGTAAAGGGGGGTCTTTCACCATCCTATTATTCTCCGAATAATGCAAAGGTAATAAAACCACATACAATTCGCAAATTATTTTTTTTAATTAAAACTTTTTTTATGTTCAAGTTTTTTGATAAAAAGTTATTTCTTTACGTTTGAATATTGACTCAGATAACGCACTTAACGGGAACCACAGGGTTTTTGTTACATGTTGTATATATAATATTTGTAATCCCCTTTTAATTTTCTTTATTATTCTACCCTAGTTACATTATTATACCCTACTCAACAGATAATTTATTACTATTTCGCGCCAAACTTCCGCCATTTTGTTTATTTATTCTCAAACAACTATCTAAAGAACTTGATTTTAAGACGAATATAACGATACTGTTACGGGCTTGGGGTTCGAGGCTGTTAAAACTGCCGAGTGAATTACCAAAATTGACAATTACAGAACACTAATTAAAACTTAAAACCACACCAATAACAAGACACAATTGTACTACTGATCACTTTAGTTCGCAGTTGTATCGCTTCGAAGTATTCGCTTGTATCGACTACTCAACACTGACGCCAGTCGCGGTTTATACCGGCCTTATATAGGGCCTCAGATAGTTCCAGAATCTTCTACTGTAGAAACATCTAGAATGTTCGAGTGCATACCGGTCCCGATTGACTAGGTGTCGATAGTTCTAGAAAGTTCTTCCATGGAAATTTCTAGAAGGATCTTGAATCTCCTAGTTCTGCTACTCGATACTAGAAGGCGCTAGTGGTAAATAGTGTCGCCATGTACCCAGTCACTAGTGGTGGCGCGCAACAATACTTTAACTGTTGAAATCCATCTAGCCGTTTGGAAGATACGAGGTAATAAAGAAATTTACAAACATACATACATACATACAAGATATGCGCGAAAAACATAACATAACATAAAAATTACTAAAGAAAAATAAACTTCCTGTGGCTAAACCACATGAGTAAACGGGCTAAACTATTGAATTTATTTGATTTTTCAGCATGTATGCAATTTTCATACGATATATAACGCCGAATAGAATTAGCAGTTATATTTATTGTATTGAGTCCGACGCCATTATGTATAATTTCAAAACCTGTATATTATTTCTCAAGGCTTGCACTCATTAACATACCTTCGTACAGTGTGTAGGAAGGTCGGAGCGACTTCGCGAGGTTCCAGGGCAGATCCGGCACCACACTGTGCACTACACAACCATGATGTAAAAGGGTGATGGAGTATGCAAAGTTCACACCCGACTCTTTCAGTTCCGCGCTGTCTTCTAGTACCAAGGACGTGGTGGAATCGTCTAAAGGCTACAGATCAAACAACAAATGACACTTATAAATTAAGATGTATTAGTAAGAATTTTCAATAATAATTAAAAAAGTAAATAATATTCTTTTATATAATAATTAAGAAAAGTGAACAAAATATGTTGTGGAAAGAAGGAAACTGCTTAATATAATATCTGCATAGAAAAGACGAAGTATTAAAATGCAGATGAAAAAAGAGAGCCCAGTTCTTGTCATTTATTATATATTCGAGCAAGGTCCTTGTGGCTCTACCAGTTTTGTTTAGGAGTCCGTTCTGGTCAGCACCGCCCTCTTAACTGTTTCTGCTGATAATTTGATAGGTTCGAATATGGTTGAATGTTAGGTAACCAATATACGATTACAATATTAATTTACTTCAAATTACATCTCTTACCACTCAATAGAAGTGTTGACGCTTTACTACTAACCAGAAGTAGGAGAAAAGCCAGAAAAGGAGCTTTTTCTACTTACACTTTTCACGTGGTGACTCTCACACACACGCAGAATACCGGCGTAAATTAACAGCATTATGTTGTAGTGTTTTATATAGCGACGAGAACCATTGAACTGGTAACAAGGCATCTGAGTGAAGCATTCCATCTTATTCTTCAAAGGTGACAATGCATCTGCATTTTAATTCTTGATCGAGGATGGATGTCTGTCTATAGGCCACAGCATACACCTACCATCGGATTCAATGTGTGCAACTTTGCCACTCTAACTTCTAAAAAAATTACAAGTTCCATAAAAAAATGCCTACATTATCAACACTCCCCGTGATAAACGCGATAATGTAGGCATTCTGAGGAATTGTTAGGACTAATTCCAGCCACTCAATTTCACTATCGCACATCGCGACAAAACACGAAACTTGCGATACCATCCATATTTTTGGCGGTCCACCACTGACCGATTTAGAAGAAGTTTTAGTCCTCGCACAACTTCCTTGTAGAATCGATTACCACAGGAGATTTCTTCCGGACCGATACGACTTAGGAACCTTCAAGAAAAGAGCCTACTTCTTTTTAAAAGGCCGGCAACGCATCTGCAATTCCCCTGGTGTTGCCGTTATTCATTGGCGGCGGTAGTCACTTACCATCATGTGAGCCATATGCTCCTTTGCCCCTCTCCTATAAAAAAAAAAAATAATATCCGACAGCGGACTGGCTGCCGACACGACCTAGCCTCAGTTCATGTTTAGAGCTGATCCCTTTGGCCTTTCCTTTCGTATGTCACTGTTCACCCATTACAGGCCCGCGCTTGTAAGGGTTCACCCATTACAGGCCCGCGCCTGTAACGGGTGAGCAGTGATAGTGGCAATGTTTCAGACGCCAAACAATAGTGCAGACGCGAGAGAACGGCACAAAATGCAGGCGTGTTATACATTGTACATACCTTGTAGAGGTAGTGGTGGCAGATGGCGAGTAGACCGCGCGCGTCGCACACTATGTGCAGGTCGAGGCCGCAGTCGTGCACGCGCAGCGGCAGCGGGTCGTCCTCGTACGAGCCGCACGCAGAGCCGGCGCCCGCCGCCTGCCCCAGGCTCAGCGGAATGTTCAACTGACGCGGTGTTTTTCGATTATTATCGATATTTTTATTTATATATTTTACAATAATAAGTATACTATTTGAATAGGTAAAGCACAGCTATATACGTCCCGCTACTGGATGCAGGCTGTAACGACGCCTCTTCTGCATACGCAAACTGTTGCAGGCTCAGCAGAATGTTCAACTGACGCGGTGTTTTTCGATACCTATCGATATTTTTATTTACATATTTAATAATAATAATAAGTATACTATTTGAATAGGTAAAGCACAGCTATATACGTCCCGCTGCTGGGTGCAGGCCATAACGACGCCGCGTCTGCATACGCAAACTGTTGCAGGCTCAGCAGAATGTTCAGCTGACGCAGTGTTTATTGATTAACGATTATTCTTTTATTTATACATTTAAAACAAGCCTCCTCTCATAATGATAATGGTTTTTAGGCCAGCAAGGGTCGGTCGCGCTACCCGGATGCGTGTTGGCGGATTTCACTTATTAAAAAAAACAGTGTTTTTAATTAGCACTAATTGTAATTAACAATTCGAACCCCATAGTACGCGAGCATCTTGCCAGGGCATAACCCCAGCCCTAGCTAAGTTATATATTAATTTCCAAGGCAACTTTCTTTTCAGACATTAAATTATTTACTAGGAATAAGCTTTATAATATAATGGATCGGTGACCAAATACAACTTCTAGCGTATTTAAAAAAAAACTGTTCAACCTCATAGCAGCAGAGGGTCATCATATATTATGGGTGCAGGAGCAGAGAGAGCAGGACTGCTCCTACATTTTTCGACGACTTTTTTTTTAAGATTTATAAAGTATAACTTTATTTTTTACTTATAATATTTGTACAGTTAAGACAGACAAAGCCACAACAACGTACAATAAATAACATTCGCTTTATTCAGAACTATTACGATTATGTACATAAAACAACATCTGTGTAAACAGATATATAAAAGTTGCTTTCACGAATTCAACCTATATTATGAAACCTCACTGTTTTTTTTTTTATAGGATAAGGGGTGACAAACGAGCACACCTGATGGTAAGTGGTTGCTGTGGCCCATAGACATCTACATCTATCTTCGATTAAGATTCAAAATGCAGATGCGTTGTCACCCGTGAAGACTAAGATGTAATGCCTTGTTTCCAGTAAAAAGGGTCTCTGGTTCTCTACACTCACCATACGAAACACAGCAGCGTTAAACTGCTATTTTACGCGGGTATTCTGTGAGAGCGCGGTCCTTCCCCGGTCGAGCCGACCCATTCGTGCTACAACTATACTACTAATATAGCTGCAGAATGGCTCTACCACATAAATAAAATACAAAGGGATCGTCATAATGAGCTCCCTCTTTTCTTTTTGAAACAGCAAGTTAGGCTCCGCTGATATCACCTTAGATTTACTTCATATAATAAAGACAACTTAGTGGTTATATTTTTAATTAGTGACTGCTACCCCACACTATGATTTTTTCTCATATCGCAGAGGCATTAAACATACATAAATCGCACATGGACATTTTTTTACATTTGATTTGAGTTTGACTAAACATTGTAAACATCATAACTAATTAACATATAATTAAGTTATATCATTGCATATTAAATGACAATACAATTTAAGTAAAGCCTGAAAATTTAAAGAAGAAATAATATAAAAATAATTTAATTGTAATAATGTAGTAGATTTAATTTATTGCACCTATATTACTTGCATACGTAGGAGTTGAATGCAGCAAACGCAATTTTTCAAATATCTACTCTATCTTATTTACCTGTATTGACAAATAAAAATAAATTTGAACTGGAATTTGGCTATACAAACAGTTGAAATATGCGGAATTCGAACCAGTGGCCCGCAGCGCTGCAGTCAATTGCTCAGCGAATGCACTCCTGAGCCGTCCAAAATAAAAGTACATTAGATCTAAGTATTTTTATTTTCTTACGTTTCACAATAACGTTATGCGCCACACTGTATGTAAAACGGGACGTCCTCCCGTACACATAGAGTCATGAATAATATATCGAGACGAGGTCAACGAGCGTCGCAAGTGAACTTATACGCCATGCCATAATCTTGCTAATGTTAGGACGACTGATATGTTACCATTCATTTTGTCTAAAAGAAATTACCAAGTGATATTCGACGCACGCAAGACGGCAGATTGATTGATGAGCGTTTAGGTAGAGGTAGCGTTGAAGGGAAAAGCGGATAACAATATACTTGAAAACTTTTGATGCCCCTGTATTATATAGTAGTAGATTTTGATACGCAAAAGTGGCACTTTGTGATGCTATCGTTATCGGTATCTGCTGGCTCAAGCTGCGGTCAAATTCTACCCGCAACTTGCCACTTTACATACAAAATTGCATAAGAACAAACATAAGAACCAGAAATTTTTATTATGGGCCATATAAATTCTTGTTCTGTGTTGGATTGGAACTCGCGGTCCTCAGCGCCGTAAGTTAATGCTAAGTCACATTCACACGGACAGAAGAATTTTATCTATACAAATAAATAAAATTGAAGTGTCTGTTTGTAATGTCAAAATAACAGCTTTTTACTAAATGCAAATGAAAATACATACGGTACTTATAACAAAAACACAATTTTAAATTTTTTTGTCTGTCTTTCTGTCTGTCTATTTGTCTATATGTTTGTTCCGGCTAATCTCCGAATCGGCTTAACCGATTTGGACGGGACTTTCACTGGCAAATAGATGATATTATAAGGAGTTACTTAGGCTACTTTTATTTTAGAAAAAGAATTAGGGTTCCGCGCAAAAAATTAAAACCCATTAAATCCGGGATAAACTTGTGTCTGAAGTCGAGTCTTTGCATAACAAAGTCTCGGATTGGGGCCGACTAAATCTAGTCCAGTTCAATCCCCAGAAGACACAAGTTTGCGCGTTTACCGCTAAAAAGAACCCCTTTGTCGTATCTCCTCAGTTTCAAGGCACTCCCCTTGCTGCCTCAGCCAGTATCGGAATCCTTGGCGTCGACATATCCAATAGCGTGCAGTTTCGTGGTCACTTGGAAGGGAAGGCCAAATTGGCCTTTAAAAAGCTTGGCGTGCTCAGCAGAGCGAGACAGTATTTCATGCCGGCACATCGCTTGCAACTTTACAAAGCGCAAGTTCGGCCCCACATGGAATACTGTTCTCATCTCTGGGCCGGGGCACCCCAGTGCCAGCTCCTTCCACTTGACCGCATCCAGCGCAGAGAGATTCGAATCGTCGACGACCGAGTTCTTTCCGTTCGGCTCGATACACTGGCACTGCGTAGAGATGTTGCATCTCTTTGCGTATTTTATCGCATCTATCACGGGGAGTGCTCTGAGGAATTGTTCGGACTAATTCCAGCCGCTCAATTTCACTATCGTACATCGCGACAAAACTCGCGTTACCATCCATACCATCTGGATGATTGGCGGTCCACCATTGTGCGATTTTTTTTTCTTTTTCTTTAAAAAACGTTACCTCTACTATCTCTACACTAGGATTTTCTCCTGTATCGTGGAGGCAGTTTACAAACACAAATTTCACAAGGACAAACATCCAGACCCGGAACAATCATTTGTAGGCCATACAAATACTTGTTCCGTGCGGGATTCGAACCCGCGCCCCCCAGCGCAGCAACTCATTGCTAAGCCACTGCGCCACGGAGCCGTCAAATTTAGAAGAAGTTTTCTCCCTCGCACAACTTCTTTGTGGAATCAATTACCACCAGCGAATTTTCCGAACCGATACGACTTAGGAACCTTCAAGAAAAGAGCTTACACCATTCTAAAAGGCCGGCAACGCATCTGCAATTCCCCTGGTGTTGCGGTTGTTCATGGGCGGCGGTAGTCACTTACCATCAGGTGAGCCGCATACTCGTTTGCCCCCTATTCTATAAAAAAAAAAAATCCAATCGTAATAAATTACACGCGGGCGAAGTCGCGGAGAACAGCTAGTATATAATATTTTATATAATATGCATGTATTACACATGTAATCCTCCCTTTTGAATCATCTGTCAATCATTTTCTGTCCATTTATGATACCGCATCAAAATCTGTTGCGTAGATTAAAAGATCTAAGCGTAGAGACAGCGGGAAGTGACTTTGTTTTATACTATGTAGAGAAGATAGATATGAACTCTTAAAAGTGAATGAACATTTTTGAGATAATAATAAAATTCATAAACCGTAAATTTTATATAGGACAATTCCTCATTACTTAATACTGGCAAAATTACAACCGTACTAGTCCATTGCCAACGAAAAAAAAATGATACGATGAAAGTTTTTAGTTTTAGAAATTGTAATACTAAAGAAATATTTTGGATAACTTTCTATTTTTTTTAAATTTATTAGAATTACCAACGATTGATACATTATTGCATCTTTAATGAGAATTTATGGTAGTCTTATTTCTAAACGTATAGTTACTTAAAGGTAATCACAGCATGCTATTATTTCACAATTTATTACTATTTACATAACCTAAAGAATCCTAATTATTAAGGAATATGAAATATTTTAAGTTAATTAATAATATTAGGAATAAACACACTGTCATCAATATTATCGCTCTATTATTATTTGCTGCCCAACATACTTTTTTCAATTCCCCCTTTGACACGTTCTCAAATTTTAATAGTATGTTGGTCGTGATGCTAAAAGACCGCAAAAAAGCAGGCCAAGTGCGAGACGGACTCGCGCATGAAGGGTTCCGTACCATCGTAAAACACGTTTTTGGTGAGGAGCCCCTTTAATTTTTATATTTATTATTTGTTGTTAGAGCGACAACAGAAATGTACATTCTCTGAAAATTTCAACTGTCTACCTATTACGGATCATGAGATACAGCCCGCTGACAGACAGGCTTAGTAATAGGGTCCTGTTAGTTACCCTTCGGGTACAGAACCATGAAAAGAATTTATAATATTTAGTATGTAATAGCAATAAAGGCTTAATAATTATTATTATTGCTGCTAGGAAAACAGGGTTCTTGTGGGACACCCTTAATCGAATAGAAAAATAAGACCGGTAATGCAGAAAGTATTGCGAAAAATCTATTCTTATATGAGACGATTATTTACTAGTAAAAATACGAACGCTCTAATTACGAATTTCCCTCTACATTATTTTAAGAAGGTAAATTAAAATATTCAATATAATTTTATTGAAAAACTAGCTGCTCCCCGCGATTTCGCCCGCGCGTAGTTTATTACGATTGGATTTGATGGGTTTTAATTTTTTTCGCGGAACCCTAATTCTTTTTCTAAAATAAAAGTAGTGTACGTTACTGCTTATAACATCAGTTATCAAAGCAAGAAATGTTGGATAAGAATGATAGAAGGATATCTGATAACTTCCAGGCAAATATTAAAAACTGCCAGGGGAAATTCAAAACAGCCTAGAATGAATGCTATACGAGACGAGAATGGCTGCATGCTGAATAATGAAGTTTCAAATTTAAAGAGATGGAAGAAATACTTTGAAAGCGTGTTTAAGAGTGAAGAGTAGGGAAATAAGTTTAGATGAAATAATGAAAGCAATGAAAAGCATGAAAGCAGGTAAGGCAGCCGGATATGATAGAGTATCACTTCGTTTACGATATCTCACAAACCACTCAATAACATTGATTTTTTTTTATTTTCTTTTTTTTAAATACGTTACCCCTACACTAGGATTTTTTCCTGTGTCGTGGAGGCAGTTTACAAACATAAATTGCACAAGGACAAACATCCAGACCCGGAACAATTATTTGTAGGCCATACAAATACTTGTTCCGTGCGGGATTCGAACCCGCGGCCCCCAGCGCAACAACTGATTGCTAAGCCACTGCGCCACGGAGCCGACATTGGCTTTATTGTTTTATTCTTTTCAAAACTCTATATAGTTGAACCCTTACACTAACTGTAGTCCTATTTTTTTTATAGTAATAAAAGTGCCGACCGAAACTGAAGGCACAATTTTCTATTTATTCATACATTTTTTTTTTCAAATTAAATCCATTTGTGTCACAAATGCATTTGTGGCGGACACTTTTGGATTTTCCAAATTTTTGAAATATTTACGCAAATAGAAACTTTAATTAATGTTAAAAACGTTCATTGGTGTATAAAATATTTATTGCTATGGGTTAATCCGCCATTTCTTCATTCTACCAGACGAAGCCATATACTATAGTTTTTTGCCCAATGAATATAACATTTATAGTTTTATGGGAATATTTCCACATAGAACTTAGGGACATTTAAAATGCTAAAATAATACAAAAACACCATCATTACGAGGTAGAAGCATAAGTAGAATATGAAAGAAGATTTACTAATGGAAAGGACGTTAGTTTCGCACTATTTTCGAACTGAATAGTAAATTATCTGATTTTGACTGTTTTTGTAATGTACCCCCAACTTCTCCATTTTGTTACTTGTAAAATTTTTATGATCTCATGTTAAGTGATTTATTTTTATTTTTAATAAAACTAAATTTCTTAAACCATATGCTGAAAATATTTAAGCTGTTCTTATGACTATGATGTGGGTTATACTTTTGCTAAATATTTGTAAATAAATATTGCTTTTTGCTTTTGCCTTATGATGGCGGTAATTTCATGCGAAAAAAAAAGAAACTACATTCTAAACAGAATCACTTAATAACTTAGTTTAAAACTGACACTGAGGAAAGACATTAAGCATCGACTCTGCAGTCGTAAACCCTCCTGTCGATAGAAAGCGCGTCTTATGCAAAGCATACCAATTGACGTATTCTTGAAAATATTGGTTAACAAAAAAGTAAGCATGCAGATTTTTATTAACCAAATAAAAGATTTATTTTTTATTTAAAAAAATACTAGTAATGCTATTAAACTTTACTAATATTCCCTTAATCCACTTCTGGTAAGCTTAAAATGCTTGTGTTAGAAGTGGTTCACGACAGTAGTCGAATGGCGGATTCGAACCCACGACCTTTTGAGTTCGCGGTGCGAGCCCTGCCATTAGGCTACTGACGCTTCAAATTATGAACCAGCTTATGAACCAGTTTCCAACATTTGTAGAGGAAAAACGGTTTGAATATTGGTTTTTTGTTTTTTATATTATTGAAGTGACAAACAAACTTACTAAACCTCCTGCGCCATTATCTGATGTCAAGTGACTATTGCAGCCATACATACCGCGCTGTCACCTCAGAAGAATTTGAAAGACATTTGAGCACTTTATATGTTGTGGACCTTTTAAGTTTTAAAAGATCTTTAAGCTGTATATGATAGTTTTTCTTTATTCATTAATTTATGCATTACAGAGTATTTAAACACCATTGCAGAACAAAGGCCATTCCTATAGATTACCTAATAATAATAATAATATTTTTCTATTTCGGTAATCTTGTTTACAACATTAATTTACATCTCTTAAATGGGATATTTGCCATGCACTTGGCAGGCAAGTTGACAAGCGCAGTTAAATATTATTTTTAGATTTTTATCAGGAAGATGCTGTTGCTCACCTCCTGCTTCATTTCCCTCAGTCACCTCTTACGAAACCCACGGGATGATAGCATACAGTATTTTGTCTTTATTGGTTCATAACTAATTCTATTAACATTCGAATCTTTTTATTTTTGAAGCGGTATGTAAGGTCTTTCTTTTTTTTTATTTTAAGCAATTGGTTAATTCATTAAACAAATTATTAAACAGTGACATAATTTAAAACAAAATTAAACAAATGCTGCAGCGTAAAGGAGGACAGATCTCGTCAATATGCCACAGGAAAACAATAGATACTACAACAAACTTTCATACCACAGTCTCGTGAGGCAAATCGGCGTGAAACTGCAACGCTGAGAGCGTAGGCGTCAATTCGCTCGGCGACTTGACTTCTTCACCTTCTGCGAAGCTCTGCGCCGGCTGACGGTAGTGAATGTAGAACAGCACCTAAAACAGATTGTGAGGTAAATGTACAAAACCGTACCAGTGAAGTAAAAACACACCAATGAAATTATTTTTTAAGGACCCTACAAACTGTACACATTCTCAATATTATGTTTAACCTCGTTGTCGGTTTTCAAGCACATTGCCACTTTAGCTTACTAATCATTTTTAACCGCCGACGAAAACAGAGGGGTGTTATAAGTTTGTAGTGTGTATCTGTGTGTCTGTCTTGGTCTCGAGTGTTCTTATCTATGTTTCAATTAAAATCTGTTCAGCCGTTTGAAGATCACCAGCTCTTTTTGTTTCTGGTGTTCTTTATTATTAATTTAAGTTATATAGATTATTATTCTTTTGCCGTGTCATGTATAGTTTTGTCGCCTTAATGGGGTAATGGGTGCACAATCACAGAATGGTCTCATGTCATTTACACCAGATGTAAAATATCCAGAGCAGTATTTTACTGCAATCAAAATGTCTACATCAAAGGAGCCTCATTTCCAGCAGTAGACTTCTACGCACTGTTTAAGAAGATAGGAAAATACTATAGCCTTCTCCATAGCCCGTTAATTGCAAAGTACTTGTGCTCCTCATTTGAACAGCTGTGAACAACACGTTCGGTTTCGTAACACATCATCGCCAAGCAGAAAATTATAAAAACAAAAATTGTAGTCACCTGATTGACACAGTCCCACTGCGCCCAGGAGAACACTTTCACGATAGTCTCTGGTTCAGGGTAGATGCCATCAAAACCCCATCTCTCAGTGCCATCGTCGCATTCATTCAAAAACATCGGTGTCCTGTATATCTTGATATCTGTTTGTTAAATTAAGAAATAATATTAATTGACAATTTGTGCATAAATAAGAATAAGCTGTGCTCTCAGCTAAAGGATTTATTGTGTTGAACAAAAAAATAAAGTAAAGTATTTTAATCAGTTACAAAATAAAACCAGACTCACAGAATACCAGTGTAAAATAGCAGCTTAACAATGCTGCGTTTCGTATGGTGAGTGTAGAGCACCGGAGACCCTTTTTTTCTGGGAACGAGGCAAACCATTTTAGTCCTCAGGGGTGGCAAGGCATCTTCATTTTGATTCTTAATCGAAGATAGATGTGGATGTCTATGGACCTCAGTATCTACTTCCCACCAGGTGGACTGAGTGATCTTACTTATTAAGTAGTTAGATATCACGATCGTACCTACTTCTACCGCCTCTATGTTCCGGTTTAATGGGAACAGAGAACCAGTACAATTATAGGCAGTGAAACAATCCATATTAGTCCTTTGGGGTGATAATACATCTGTAGTCCTTCTTTGTATGAAGTTGGCTGCAAGTGCTCATGGACTGCAGAAGCCACTTACCATGAAGTGGTCTGAAAGTTCGTACGTAAGGGACATACGAACTTTCAGTCCACTTCTTCGGTCACTTTCAGTTTAATACATATAAATATCTTCTTGAAGCTATAAGCAAAAAATGATTTCAGTATCTCAATAACACCGTCATGCAAAATAGTTTAAATAGTTATGAAGTAATAAAAATTACCCTGGCACAGTAACTAAGTTAACTCAGAGGCCAATTTCATTCTATACTTAATGTATTACATTACATACATGCCTCGCAGTTTCCAAAACTTCCACAATTATAGCATATAATAATTAATTGTAACACATTTGGCTTATGGCATTTTTGTGGAATGATAAAAATTTATAAAAGTATTGTGTTAACATTGAAACAATAACTGATTGAGTTTAAGTGTTACATTCTTTGACATTTATTTTAAAAACTTCTTTTTGGTTTAGGAGACTATAAGTTCATCGTACCCTCTTAGCAATTTGCCACTGTTCGAGTTGGAAGATTAAAAGAGTCAATATAATATGTTATATTACATTATACTTGGTAGAGCCATAATGCAGCTGTATTATGGTTGTTGCACGTATGGGTCGGCTCGACCAGGATAGGGACATGCTCTCACAGAGTACCAACATAAAAGAGCAGCTTAATGCTGCTGTGTATCATATGGTGAGTGTAGGCAACCTGAGACCATTTTTAGTTTTATTTTCATTCATTTGTAGTCTTAGTCCTCAGGGTCTTACTCACCATAAACAACTGGTGCAGGGATTACAGTTTATCAATTAATGCTGATAAAACTGTTATAATACCCTTTACCAAAAAAGGATGGTTGGACAAATTGGTCACATCAAAACTTAATGGTAAAGAAGTACCATTCTCCACTGAAGTTAAGTACTTTGACATAATAATCGACCAAAAACTAATGTGGAACTCTCGCCTTAGCAACCTAAGTCTTAAGGCAAAAATTCCTTTAGGTACGTGCAGTGGCATAGTCGGGAACAACTGGGGCTTGCGTCCCAATCCTATGGCTGTACAGTAGTATAGTGAAGCCGAATCTTACCTACGCCTCCACTGTCTGCTGTAATAAGGCCGACCAAAAGACGACTGTGGACAGACTAAATAGTCCACAAAGGACTGAATGCTTAATGGCAACTGGAGTGATGCGATCATCGCCTGGAGCGACGAGCGATAATGCACTTCTAGGCCTAAAGCCACTTGATCTTAGACAAGACTTGTCTTTACTCAGGGCGGTTTGAGATTGCTTTCCTATAAATTGAGATCCATGCTCGACTCAATTAAACACCGGTCTTATGCATGATCTCAGATATCATCCATCCACTATATACTTTCAACAAAAAGTATACAATGGAACTACCCTCCAGAGAAGACTGGCTGAATTGACAGGTCATCTCTGATGTCGGTAGCCTTATATGGTATACCGATGCGTCAAAAATGGGCCCTGACTTAGGGTTTAGAATTTATGAGGAACAACCCAAATTCAAACTTATTATGAATTTGGGTAGATTCACCTGTATCTTCCAGGCAGAAATTTTTTCCATACTTCAGTGTGCGGAAATCAATCTGTAAAAACACTACGTTAATCTATATTAACTCTGATAGTCAAGCAGCACTGCTATTGGTGAGATCAAACTAGTTGGAGACTACGTGAGCCGTCTAAACGCTCTAGGAGGTAACAACCAGTCGTTTTAGAATGGTTTCCGGCTCACGCGGGTATAGTAGGCAATGAAACTACCGACAAGGTCGCACGGGAGGGCTCAAAGAGTACACAACTTAGACCCGAGCCATTTTGTGGAATCTCAAAAAGCCCCGCCCGATTGACGCTGGAAACTCTTTACCACAATAAATCTCTTAGATCTGGTCTGATACACCAGGCTTAAAATATTATAAAACCTTAATCCGGGCTTTCGATCGTAAATTAGCTTCGGAAGCCCTGGGATTAGGTAAAAATATGCGCATTCCGGTAAGAGCATAAGTTATGCTCTGACAATACTGGTCTCTGGAAAGACAGCAAGCATGGTGTGCGACCTGACCCAAGCGGCTCTCCGTATAGTGGAGAGATGGTGCAGGGAATACGACTTAACCGTAAATCCAAATAAAACGGTTCTAGTAATGTTCACACAAAAACGAATGCTGAATAACTATCATCTCCCAAGTCTTTTTAGCACAAAACTCCAGCTATCCTCCGAGGTAAAATATTTAAGTCTCACCTTGGACAGTAAACTCAACTGGAATAAACACATAGAAAACAAAATCAACAAAGCTATTACAACTTTCTGGCAATGCCGAAACATGATTGGCAAAAGATTGGGTCTGACACCAAAAATCATACAATGGCTATACAAAACTGTGATTCGGCCCATGATTAAATACGGCTCTCTGGTATGGTGGACCAAAACAAATGAAACCACCACTATAAAGAAGCTTCAGCGTTACCAGAGACTGGCATGTATGGCTGCCACAGGCTGCATAAGAACTACGCCAACAGCAGCCTTAGAGGCAATTCTGGAGCTAACCCCACTTCATCTACACATACAACAAGAAGCGACTTTAGCTGGCATTAGACTTAAGACCCTAAATCTTTGGAGTAAGAATAGAGTCCCCCATACAGGCATAATTGATAGAATTTACTAAAAATTCCTATCTGACAAGCCATGTATGATAAGATCCCTAAACAATTTGTATTCGATAAGAAGTATAAGATACAATTAAATAAAAACAGCCAGCCGGAGGGATTAAGCCTAAGTTAAGCTTAGAGTCGTCACCGATGGTTCTAAAACATATGTAGATGTAGGATCTGGAACTTTTTCTGAAGACCTCAACATCCACATATGCACACTACTGGGTACCTACAACACAGTCCTTCAGGCGGAATGTATGGGTATCATTCAAGCGGCCATAGCAATAGATGCTAGAAAGGTTAATGACTTCTCCATAAGAATACTGTTCGAAAGTAGTGCGGTACTACAAGCCCTGAGCTGCAATGTGGTGAGCTCAGGATTAATATATGAATGCCACCAACTATTAAATGAGGTATGTAAACACAACAATGTGACTCTGCAATGGATAAAGGGACACAATGGATCCAGAGGCAATGATGCAGCAGACGAACTGGCCAGAAGAGGATCGGCTCTGGCCACTATAGGGCCGGAACCAATCATACCAATCTCCTTTGGTAATGTTCGTTCACTGGTACATAGACACTACACTAATCAACACGCTGAACTTTGGAAAAATCAAGTAGACTGTAGACAAGCGAGGGAGGCCCTGCCTGAAATAAACAGTCATTCGTATGGGGGAGGAAGTAATGGCGGCACACGTGTTGCTGACGTGTACGGAAGTCGCTGTATATAGGGCTAAACATCTCGGCGCGCCGGGATCACTCCCCGAAGTTGCTTGCAACATCAAAGGGCTGTTGAACTTCTTCGGGGAGATTTTATAGCTCGAATAAATACATTATTCCTGCCCACACATAAAATACGCGCTTAGACGTGGAGTTGCGAAAAACAGTCCGTTTATTCAATTCAATTCAAAGCAAGCTCAAAATGCGCTGTGCATGGATCCTGTACAAATTAGCCTTTGCCTCTTTTCTTACATATAGATCAAGTGTCTTTAGGCATAGAAGTGCACTAATATGGCTTCAGGTGAGGTCTGTACCACTCTAGTTGCAATTAAACAGGCTATATTAAATAGCCTGCAGTTGTCTTTTGGTTGGCCTTATTACACCATACAATGGAGACATAGGTTATTATCAGCCTTACTATGTTACTGTACAGCCACAAGATCACCCCGGGATGCAGGTTCCAGTTGTTGCCAATCATGCAACTGTACATACCAAAAACAAATTTAGCCCTGTGATTTAGGAAAGAATTCCATGTTACTTTTTGGTTGATTGTTACACCCAAGTATTTAACTTTAGTAGAAAATGGCAATTCTTTCCTATTAAGTTTTGGTGTAACTAAGTTGTCCAAACATATCTTTTTGGTAAAGGCTATAATAACAGTTATGATGTTTAGAGCTATTTGTATAATTAACAATTAGGTACTTTCTTTGCCAGAAACTCATTGCAATACCCACAAGGTCATAGCAGAACCCAGTCTGTCTTAGATAAAGTAACTGCATTTTTAGACCATCTTAACTCCATAAATTCTAAAATTCAGTTCACAATAGAGGCAAACAATTCTTTCGCTTTTCTAGATGTGTTAGTAATTTGGAATCCTGATAACACCTTGAGCCACACTGTGTATAGAAAAAAGACCTATACAGATAGATATTTAAACAGTGAATCTCATCACCATCCTTCACAGTTAGTTCTTTGTTTCAGAGAGCACAAGGGATCTGTGACATTAAACACCTGGCGCCAAGCTCCAACACGTCAAGCAAGTTTTGCACAACAATAAGCTTCTGGTCCTGCGCCTATGTCACAGTGAGCGAGTGAAGCCGGCCACAGTCGAGCGAGTGCCTGCTGTACTGCCATATGTCAGAGGTGTCACTGACAAGATTGGCTACATCTTGAAGCATGCTTCCATTAAAACATACTTCAAGCCGCCGAAGAAGATTAGGCATACTATACCATCAGTCAAGTGTAATGTCCCTCTGTAAGATGTAGGAATGTACAATTTTGATTGTGAATGTGGTCTCTCTTTTACAGGACAAACTAAAAGATCGATAAAAACCCGTGTTAAAGAACACATAGCTGATGTGAAGAATCGAAGCTCCTGGAAGTCTGCAGTCTAGGAACATGTACAGAATTGCCCCCGTCACTACATTAGATTTGATAGACCACAAATCCTCGCTAAAGAATACTGATTCTTACCAAGGATGATTCGCTAGGCTTTTGAAATCAAAAATCATACTAATTTCAATAGAGAAGATAGCTGGGTGCTAACATCTGCTTGGGATCCTATAATTAATAAAATTAAATCCCAACCCAAGAATACAACTGCAAGACTTCAAGATACTGTAAGTTCATACTGCGTAGATCAGAACAAAAATTAATTAATTTTTAATCTGAAGGTGCCGTGGTTAACTATGACATTGGGACGTCAAACACCTCAATCCCCCCGTGACCATGAGTGTTGTGAATTACTCAAAACGTCGCGAATATAAAATGAGTTAATATACGCGATAAAATCAGTAAAACTAATTTTACTTAAATGTACAACAAGTATCCACACTATCTAGCATGCTTGATGTACAATTGCTTTAATGGATTTCCAAGCTATTTATTATCCAACAGCAGCACACAAAAAATCGTGGAATGCCCCACGGCCGCCTAGCTGGGTGCAAAATGGGTACAGCATGTCTAGCAAACAATAAGTAAAAATTATATATGTACAACTAATCTATTAAATGTAGTTTTTCAACATGTAATGTAATTGCCCTTAGTCAGATACATAGTAAGATGGACTGTGTGTAAGGTGCTCTAGCCCATCATGTTTAAACTGAGTCACAGATGGCCAGTAGATGTAAATTAGACTGTTAGCTCGTAAGTTACTCAAATATTATTTAAAAAAAACTGACAAATAATTTTATATCTAGTAGATATGTATTTTATTGGTATATATTTTAATCTTTGGTAGTATCGGGCCCAAGTTTAAGGGACAAAATGTAATAGAGAACATATTTAAAATATTAAAATTAGAAACTCATAGATTTCTATCAATGATAGACTAAAGCATTACTTTAAATAAAAATATTAATAGAAACAGTGAAATACTCACATTCCAAGTGTTTGAACAATAAAAATCTATCATTCCTAATACCAGGGCTATATTTATTACTTTTCCCATATATATATTGTACCATTATCTGCCTATTGGAGCTTTCCTCAATTTCCTCGGGGACGCTTATTTTATCGGGAAGCAAAGATATCAAGTATGGACAATATAAAGCTTCTTTAATATTGTCATCTTCTTTGGGGAGTATTTTAACAACATAAATAAGTAAGCTGTGCGTAGAATTCACAGAGGCTTGTATTATATTTAATTTCTCATCAAATGTATGTAATACATTAAGAGTTTTTGTGCTATTTGCATACACGCCTATATTCATGACTTCTCTTTCATTTTTCTTCGACACCCAAGTAAAAACTTGAGATCCATCTTGCTCTTGGCCTATTAAACGCCATTCCCGTGCGGTTATCTCTGCAAATATTATATATCACGTTAGTAACCATCATCAGAAATAAGTGATGAAAAATAATATTTTTGACATACCTTCTTGGCTTTGCGCTTGAAGCACTCCACATAGTTTAACAGCAAGATTCTGTTGTGCCATTTTAAAAAGTAATAAAAGTTCACCTGTTCATCACAAAATACTAATATACACAAGTGCTTCAATATTTTATCAACGTAGATAGCGTTCCTATTATTGACTTTTCTTGTCGGTTTTCTATCAGCTGGCGCCCAGCTGTACAGCGAATTGAAGATAGTTGTTTTCAGGAATACCAACATACGAGATGTAAATAAGCTGCCACGCAGAATGCCAACATTAAGCTATGGCGCTGATTCGTTTAATTAACCAATCACAAACGAGCATGCAGGTTCCATCTTAAAATCCATTTCACGTGTAAATCTTAATATTTTTATAGATATTAATTTATATCTATTGCTTATTCTCCTTCAAAAGTATTTATAAAATGAAAAAAATATTTATGCTTTTGTTTACTTCAAAGTATATATTTCATGATATTTTCGAAAATTATTATCATATTATTTATAATGAGATTGGTTATTAAATAACGCCGTACACTATTAAAAATATGAGATTTTTAAATATAAAGCGCCCTTATTATCGTTTTAATTATGAATTATATTTTTAATATAAAAATTTATTAGAATGTAAAAATAGGAAACGTTGATGTAAAAGTCGTGTAAAGGAACGACATTGGTAATGACGTACGTTTTCAGAAGAAACAAACGTGAAGTTATCTACTTACCCACCCCTAGAGGCCAGTAGTTTTACCGCGACATTTTCGCGCGGAAAGCCGGGCGTTATCGAGCCGTGGAAAGCTAAAAAGAAGCATTTAAATATAGATAATTACCTTAAGTGTAATATTTTTACTCATTTTTCATTCGTATTATATCTTGTATGTAAAATTAAGTGGTAATAATAGTGAAATTGTGTTCTAAATTGAGAACTGATTTCTCATTCATAAGGATTTTTTGTTCTGTGGAATTTGGAATAATTTGTGAATGACCAGGTATGTTATAAGTTATTGCTTGCACTCTCAAAAATGTAAGGTATCTTTTAATATGGAAAATTATATTAGTAACTTAAGATTTCGTCCAAAATTAGGTTATAAATCCTAGGTGGACGATAAGCTAAGCCAATCATACTGTCAACGATAACCCCTATAAAAGGGCTTATATTGCGATTTTTGATGAAATATTTGTAGATATTATTTATATGACAATAATAGTCTACCACGTATGTGCTATTTTTATCAATTTCCTAAAGTGGATGGGGCGAGAAACCCAAGCTAGCGACGTGTCTAATGGCGGTGACGGAGGATTTCGCGCGCGATTATGACGGATTCGTGGCATTTATTTTACCAGCTGACTTACTATTTTTCATACTTTTATGATTTCAACATGTTATTAATGTATCCTTCTGGTTATAAAATTAAAAAATAATGATTTTTTTTGCTGATTATTATCGTAAAAGAGCTCCTGAAAAAAATTCTCCCGCCAACCAGCAGGGGGCACGCTGTCCAATCGTGACTCGAAAAAGTGATTTTGATACGTTAAATGCATTGATTTTATATAAATAATGTTTTCTAAAATGTGAGAACTTTTATAAAACGCTCACAAATTTGTAAAATTTGGCCTCAATTATAATTGTCAACTGACATAACCCTATTGCGGTTTCAACATGACATGCGGTAATTTGAGGCTTATAATCTAATTATTTTAGTAATTTAGTGTATCATATCTATTATATATTAAATAAGGATCATGTTTTAGGCACTGTATATCCTGTGCCAGCTGACCTGTCCCAACTACAATGGCTCAAACAGGGTATGTATGAACGTTATTTAGTAGACACTAACCGACTTTTATAAACATAGTTAACACTCAAAACATATGCTTGCAGTTCCTCCTGTGAAGCCAATGAAAAGCGGACATGTCTCAAACGGAAGAGAAATTCAACAGACGATGAGGTAACTGTGTTGTTCCTTTTTAATTGATTATTTCTTAGTAAAACAGAGATTAAAAATACAAAGTAACTTATTTCTCTATAGGAGGTGGAGAACATGCCACCGGTGAAAAAATCACCAACAACTGCTGAAGTACCTATTGACCAGCCAACACATAATGTTGTTGTTGAATCTTCATCATGCTCCAGTGATGAAGAGGGCTCTCATTTTGAAAGTACTGAACAACCAAGGAGTGTATACACAGACATAGAATATAACCCCGATAGTTTGTTAAGCCCACCAAGCATACCTGAACTTCCTAATTATGTTCTGAGCCCCTTAGAAAATGTTGCCAGGGGTGACTCTACACCACACTCTAACAAAAGGCCAAGGTGAGTTGTTTCTGTCTAGTAATTTTGATTGTTTTTGGTATTAGTGTGAATATCTGTCTTTTCCAAGTTTCTTTTCATTTTTTAATTTGTAAACCAAACAACAATATAAGTGGTTCTTAATTAACAATAAGATCATGTACCACCCAAGAAACTTTGCTTGCAGTACAAGTAAACTCCAGTGTCCCTCATCACCAAAACGAAAATGTCCACTACCAGGACTCTCCTGGGCGGATCCCAAAGATGTGTGGAAAAGTATGTGTGAATGTGATGCCAGATCCAGTACGGAGAAGAATCCTAATATGTTTGACAATCATCCAAATCTTCAACCAAGGATGAGAGCCATTCTACTGGACTGGTTGAATGAGGTAAGAGATGCCCTATATTTTTAAAACTTAACTTTTCAGTAAATAACCCTTTGTGTTTTTTTTTCATTATTAGTTTCTTTTTGCTGCATTACCTCCTATATGTTTGTATCAGCTTAGCCTAATAGTTGACTGGAAGAGTATTCCTTAAGGCATTAAGTCAGCCATATGTACTATGTTATATAAATAAATAAATCGAAATAGGATGTTAAAAAAAAACATGGATTATTATTACTAGGTTGTATCACTTCTTTTCTGCCTGAGAGTCTGTCTGGATTGGTACCATTCTCTTACTGCCAAAAAGCAATGCTTGTACTTCTGCTTTTCAGTTATAAAGGTACAAAGAGTCTGTATAATAGATGTTGTGAGGCATTCCATCTTAGTCCTCAGAGGTGACAATACATCTGTTGTTTTATTTAGTAGTAGTGTCCACGGACTGCAGTGGCCACTTACTATCAGGTGGACTGTGAGTTCATTTGAAGAAATCCCACATTAGTAACTTACATCAATTGGTAACACTGTAATGTATAGTGCTTGAAAATTTGTCACATTATATTTGCAAGTATATTGCACACTGCTGCTATGCTATATAAGGGAATAATTTTACTTAACTTTCTTAAAGTGCATTTTAAAAGCCAATAAAATATTTGGACTTTGTTCCTTTTAAACAGTATGTTCTGTGTTATACACTAATTGGTTTGTTTTTACTGCATATCATATTTGATAGCTCTTATGTACTCCCTCCCCTGTTATATAACGTTTTAGTCATTGCCTTTATCACATAGAAATAATTAATTTTATTTCCATGCTGCCTAGTACAAGATATAAACAGGAAAGGTGAGTATTTCGACCTATTTCATTGTTCGACGTTAGTAGTGAATTATATGTTGTTCTTTTTTTAATTTTACGTATAATAAGGGATACACAAAATAATTTGTTTATTTTGTGACTGTGGTGTAACAATAAGGGCAGTGACCTCTTTTTTGCAATGTGTAATGACCTCTCCAGAACCATCGCGTTTGTAATCGTTTTGCTGCTACGTGTTTTTATTCTTTTTCCATAGTTGCACCTGAACGTAGCTAGCTACAAACATCGCGGTCGTTGGGCTTTGTTAAACTTTTTTGCATTTGTTTGCTCTCACTTAACTGTGATCAAAATTATATCGCCGATAATTTTGTTCTAATAAAAAATAATAGTAAGGGAGACCGGGTACAAAAGTAACGGCGGGTCGAAAGTAACAACTGCTCTATAGGTTTATCCAATAGTCAAACACCGCTTTGCTTCTGTAAGGTGATAGCCGGTAGTGGCTCCCTCACTTGCATTCAATCGCCGCGCGTGTCACGCGCTGTTAGGTTGTGTGAGAGGACACTATGTGATTTCACAAATCAAAAGTAAGTTTTATGACGTTTTCTTATTTAATGTTTTCGTAGTCTCAAAAGGATGATACCAATCTGAATATTTGCATATTAATTCTTGATTAGTTTGACTACACATTGTTTTAATTAATTTTTGTCTAGCACATTCCGTTTTAAAGTTATCTTTCATATATTAACAAAAATGTGATCGGGTACAAAAGTAACATAGCCCTATGGGTACACAAGTAACATGTTACTTTTGTCCCCATGTTGATTTATTTACTTACTATTGTTATGTGTATATTTATTTGAACAGAATGCCAAGACATAAGAACTACCACACGAGGAACTACTGACACGGAAGTGTACCGAAAAGCGACTGAAGAGCTTTCTAAAACTGGTACAAAAATTAGATCCCTGGTCGTGTTGGTTGTGACGGAGCTGGCAATGCTAGTAAATGGATACAGGAGGCACAACTTTTACTGTTTCAAGAGCAATTCAAAAACCAAGTCAAGCCAACAGTTGATCAAAAATGCTTGTTACTGCTCGACAACCATGCATCGCATATATCTATCCAAGCTCTAAGTTTTGTAAAAAAAAAAGGATGCGGAATCATTCTGGTCGGACAATGACTATCCATTACATTCCTGGGATTGTTAGAGAAGCGTTTCCTCTTTCTGTCACTGATCGAAATGCAATTTACCTGTATCTACACCGGTATAAGTCCATTTAATAGAAATGTATTCACTGCTGTTGACTATGCACAATCATCGGTCACTGACCGGCCTTTACAAGTTAACAGTGAAATTCCACGAAACGATCTGTTGACCAGTTTTAATGCAACGTCCTCCATCCAAGTTGATCTGGAGACTACAGTTAATAATCTTCCAACATCGAGTGACCAGCCTACCCAGTATATATTTAGCAATGATTTTTCGAAGAAATCCAATTCGCTAGTACCAGGACTTAGCTGGTTACAGCAAGCAAATTCTTCTCAGCCGTTTGATTCCATACCGAGAGATCTAAGACTTTTACCACAAGCGGGTCTGAGGACTGTAGCAAATAAAGGATGTAAAAATCTATGGCAGCATTATTGACGAATACGCCCGAAAAAAACGCATTTGAAGAACCGAACCAACAAAAAAACGGTTTTAAAGCCCGATACTGGGATTGACAAGAAGAAGTTGATATCTACGAAAGGGAAAGGAAAACGAAAAAAGACAAAGAAGGCAGCTAAAGGCAAGAAAAATAAATCTGACGACGAAGATTGCTTTTGTCTCGTTTGTTTAGAAACTTTTAGCAAAAGTTGACCAAATAAGCAAAGGATACAATGTACAAAATGTAAAATTTAGTCACGTGCTGAATGCGTTATCGATGATGCAAATTATGTACCATAGTTGTTAGTCTTAGTAAAATACTAATACTGAATAGTCTGATTATAAAAAAAATAATTTCATGTAATAATTGATCTCATTACTAAATTCTTTTGTTTTCTTAAAATATATAATTTTTGAGCATTTAAAATGCAAATGTTTACCTTAGTTATTAATACAAAGTCTTGTAATAAATAATCAGCTGATTTAATATGTCACGTTATATTCATTACAAACCCCTTAATCCTGTTACTTTCGACCCACAACGTGTTACTTTCGGCCTGCCTACGTGGTCGAAAGTAACAACTGACGAATTTTTTTTAAGTCGCTGTTTTTCATATAAAATACACAATAATAAATTAAATCAATATACTAATGTAAAGAACATAAACGAAATGTATAAATGGCTAGATTAATTTCATAAAAATAATTACACCTAACCAGAAAACAAGGTAAAAGCACAAAATGTTACTTTTGTACCCGGTCTCCCCTATAAGAATCAGAGTTGACTTCTTATGTATACTTATGTTTTTATTGTTTATAATTTTAACGGATTTTTAACAGTAAAAACGTCTCCCCTAAATCGCACAGGGCCTCAGATCTTTATTGATTTAAATAAATTCCGACAACTCGCTTTCGACGATCGTAGTAAGAAATGGTTTGAATAACCAATTAGGTACCGGTACGTAGTACTATTATTTATTCTGTGGTACCGGGTACCGCAAAACCGCATTATTTTTTGCGACGCATCCTTTAACACATAAATATCACTATCACTGTTTATTTAAATAAGTTTTTTTTGCTTAATATTATATATACCTATGTACTTACGAGATTTATATCAATCTCTATATAATACTAGAAAATAAAACATGAGATATACAATTATATGTAAAAGTGTGTCGATTAAATGAAATATAGTAATTTGTTTGATGTATTGTAAGAAATTTTACGTGGTAGAGCCACGCAGCAGCTATATTATGGTTGTAGCACGTATGGGTGGGCTCGACTTGGGCGCTGGCTACGCTTTCACAGAATACCAGCGTAATATAGCAGCTAAATGCAGCTGTGTTTCGTATGGTGAGTGTGGAGAACCGGAGACCCTTTTTACTGGAAATATACGTCCTCAGAGGTGACAACGCACCTGCATTTTGATTCTTAATCGAGGATAAATGTAGATTTCTATGGACCACTGTATCCACTATCGGTAGTATCAATGGGCGTTCCTCAGGGCTCGATTCTTGGCCCATTCCTCTTCTTAATCTATATTAATGACTTACCTTATCTTGTAGGGGACAATCACGATATAGTATTATTTGCTGACGATACCTCTTTAATCTTCAAACTCAAACGGTAGTCAATTAATTATGACGATGTAAATAATGCTCTATTGAAATTAGTACATTGGTTTAACGCCAACAATTTGCTCTTAAACGGCAATAAGACGAAATGCATTAAATTCACAATACCTAATGTAAAACATTCGAAAACCAATGTGCTCTTAAATGGGGAGGAGTTGAGTCTTGTGGATACCACTGTTTTTCTTGGTATTACTATTGACGCGAAACTTCAATGGGGCTCCCATATATCTAAATTAGCAAGTAGACTTAGTTCTGCAGCATATGCTGTAAGAAAGATTAGAAGTCTCACAGATGGTGAGACAGCTAGATTAGTGTATTTTAGTTATTTTCATAGCGTAATGTCTTATGGAATTTTGCTATGGGGTAATGCGACTGATATTGAAGCTATATTTGTTTTGCAAAAGAGAGCCGTGCGATTTATAACCTAAATTGTAAAAAGTCCCTCAGGGAAAAATTTAAAGAAATAAACATATTAACTTTAGCATCGCAATATATTTATGAAAACGTAATGTATGTACATAAAAACTTAAATAGCTTTAATAAGAATAAGGATGTTCATACCTTAAACACTAGGAACAAACATAAGCTTGTAATGCCACTTACTAGACTCCACAGAATTAATAATTCATTTATGGGGTAATGTATACGCTTTTACAACAAAATCGCAGAACATGTTCAAAGTTTGTCAATAAACAAGTTTAAAAGTTTTATTAAAGAAAAACTGTACAAAAAGGGTTATCATAATATCAAGCAATACATGAACGAAAATAACCCCTGGGAATAAGGTGATCGCCACCATGCTGGTTCTATGAAAATTCATTTAAAAGTGAAATTATGTTTAAAAAAAAGTCCCGCTGTGTTTCTTGCTGGTTCTTCCCAGGATCTGTCCTGTGTATTTTCCGAACCAGTGGTAA